AAACTCTTTTGTCAGTGGATGCTTAGGCTGCAAATAACTAGCCCTAGAACCCCTTGTGAACGGAATATATTTACATGCTGAATTAATACTAATATTTGTTCATATGTCCTAACAGATTTAGCAAGACAAGTGAAGGTGAGAAAACGGTAAAGATCATATGGGAAAAAGAATCAGTAAACCCTGTGAAAGAAAATTGAGGGGGAAAATGAAAGGAAATGTGGTTTCCCCTCCCTCCTTTAAGTTACTGCCATGTGTAGTTGTGTATAGTCCTTATTGTCTAATGATTTTCATGGAAGGTGTGAGTGACTAGGCCTTACCCATCTGAGGCAGAGGAAAAGTTTTTGTGTTTTGTTTTGTTTTGTTTTGTTTATCTCAGATAGAGTGGGAGGGGGGGAGAGAGATGCACATTAGTTGCCTCCGGCAGGACCCGACCCAGGACAAAACTGCAACTGAGGCATTTGCCCTTGGCCGGAATTGAACCTGAAGACTCCTCCAACGCTCTAATTGCTGAGCCAAACTGGCCAGGGCAAAAGTTACAATTTTCCCTTAACTAAGGCCCTTGTAGGTCTTATTCAAGATTCATAAATAGTTTACGACATCAGAAGATGAGAACATAAGTAGAGAATTCTATGACAGGTTCTTATTTTAGTTTGCTTTTAGTTGCTATTTATTGGCTTTTATTATACCTAAACCATTTTAGTTCTTATAAACTTGTTTTCTATACCCTTGAAATTGTTTCTTATACACTAGCTTTTTGGACAACAGTTGATCATAGCATATAAATTGGCAAGTTTATGAGCCACATTTAAAGTCTGTACAAATATTATAAATTTTACAGGTAATTTCATAGTTGTGGCATGAATTTGATTATATATGTATAAATGTCAGTTCTTTGTTAAGTGTTTCCAAAATTCCCAACTTGACAGAATGAATATAGACACATGCAGTGTTAGAGTATCCATGAACATTTGCAGATACAAAGGCCATGTGAATCTCACTCTGAATGCATCATACAGATGTGACCTTAAAGAAAGATAAATCATTTTAAAATGGCTAATGTTACAAGCATTTGGTAATTTCTTTTAAAGGTATTGCTCTAATATTAGTTGGGGTCAATAATTGGGACTGGGAGAATTTCTTTTATAAGCCTATGAGTCTTTTTTTGTTTTTTGTTTTTAGAAAAGCAGCCTATTATACTCAAGAGTAAGGAGGCAGAACTATTGCTGTTTCTGTAAACTGAAATGGAAGAATAGCATAAACACACATTTCCCACATGTCCTAAAGAGTGAGGTTCTTAGTACAATAAATATAATTGGGTAATTTAAGCACCCTTTCCCCTTGGTCATACAATTCACCCAAATGTACTAGTGTATTTCTATGGAAATAGATATCCAATTTCATAAAGTAATGGGAAAATATGTTTCGAGAAAATTTGTTTTAAAAGTTTATGCTTTAGTCATATAAACTTGAATTTGTGTAAACTTGGCACTATTACTTGGCTTTAGAATTTGCCTTGCCATAATAGGATGGGTTACAGTATAGCATTTATATTGGTTTATGTGTTAAAGTACTAAGCATATATTGTTGGAATTTTTCCACCTATAATATGATACTAGCTTTATTTAAAAACACTACAATTATTGCTTCCTGTAGAAATTATTTGTGTTCTGCAACAATGGATATTCCTGATTAAAAGAATAGTATATTTTTGTTATAGTTACTTTCAGTATGTAAAATACAACTGTATTTTAACACAGGAAAGAAGTATGGTTTTTAGCCCTGGCCGGTTTGGCTCAGCGGTTGGAGCGTCGGCCTGCGGTACAGAGAGACCCGGGTTCGATTCCCGCTAAGGGCACGTACCTCGGTTGCAGTTTGTCCCCGGCCCTGGTTGGTCGTGCGGGTGGCAGCCACTCGATGTGTCCCTTCACATCGATGTTTCTCTCTCTCTCTCTCTCCCTCCTGCTCTATCTGAACAAAAAATGGAAAAATGTCCTCGGGTGAGGATAAAAAAAAAGAAGTATGGTTTTTAGACAGCTTTATTGAATATTCTTACCTTTCTTAATATTTATGGTTAGCTCCCTCCTTTTATTTTTGTCCTTCAGCTACCACCAAAGGAGGTATCTTAATAGTAAAGAACAGTTAAAAGCACAAACAAGTTATTTGAACAGGTTGTGTGGTGAGATCTTTTTGCCTGGCTTTTGATTTATAGTGATTATGATAGAATGGAAGCCTATTTAAGATTTATATCAAAGTTTGTGATATGATGTGATTACAAGTCAAAAGTAGAAAAGGATAATGTAGCATTTGTCCATAAAGGGCTTATTGTAGCCTGGTTTCCAATGTACAGTCCAGTGAAAAGGGTGTTTATTTGACACCAGCTTTTGAGAAATAAGTTGCTTAAACATGGTAAATATTGCCCTGGCTGGTTTGGCTCAACGGTTAGAGCATCGGCCTGCGGTCCAGAGAGACCCAGGTTCAGTTCCCGCTAAGGGCACATACCTTGGTTGCAGTTTGTCCCTGGCCCTGGTTGGGTCGTGTGGGAGGCAGCCACTCGATGTGTCCCGTTCACATCGATGTTTCTCTCTCTCTCTTCCCCTCCCACTCTATCTGAACAAAAAATGGAAAAATGTCCTCGGGTGAGGATTTAAAAAAAAGTAAATATTAATATGACCATTTTTCTCTGTGTGAAGACTGTTTATTAATTACTAGTTCTTATGAGAGGACTTTTTTGGTATTATAGTAAACAGTTTTGAAGAAGTCAAGGCATATTTTATGCTTGGCAGTTTATTCTTTTTTATTTAGTTTACTTTTTGTTTGGTTATAGTTTATTCTTTAGGTTAAAGTCCTGAGTCTCTAAATTGTTCTAGAAGGTTAACCAATACTGACAACTTTGAAAGTAGGAGTTAAAGGTGGGTTAAGAAGACTGTTTCTTAACCTTGAATGCTTCTGTGACGAAATTTATGCAGATTTAAGTTCCCCGATTTAAAAAATCGAAGGGTAGGCAATAGAGAAGGTTAGATACTTGTAATACCTTGGATAGTAAAAAGCAAGCCTTTTAATATATGCTGATGTCTTTTGAAAAGATATTGTCATATTTTACTGATTTGTTAACAAAAGGAAAATTGCATTTTTTCCAATGAATTGCTGTGCCAGAACTAGGATTTAAAATATAAGATGTTAGTGATTACCATGTTTAAATTAGTTTCTAAGAGGTGGTAATTTTCAGCACTACTGAATAACTTTCAACCATTAATCATGCTGATAAGAAAAGATTTGAAAATCAAATATACACATATGTTTGGACCATAAAAATTTTATCCTGTACTAGAAAGCTTCACATAAACATTTGGGATAAATTTGGGATTTTAATATATACGATATTTATTTCTATCCTAGTAAAATTAAGGGTTTTACAGTGTCACAGAGCACAGAAGCCTTGTGGATATGTATGGATAACAATGACGATGGTGATGTTCATAGATACTGTTCCATCTCCTGCTATTTGACAATAGCATAAAAGAATGATATGCAAGAGGATCTGTTTTATAGACAGGAAAGCCAAAGGCGGGGAGGAGAGATAATCTTTTTATCAGTGTAGTTAGTGAACCAGCCTGTGAGATTGCAATTACAAACAAATTATTCGTGCCACCCCCCACCCCCCCTCTTTTTTTGAGTACTCAGTATGCTGCTTTTACTGTTTCGGTGAATGAAAAGGCCTAAATTACTGTTCCTGTGCCAGGCATCTGTCCAGGAATTCAGAGAGTATGTGAGATGTAGTGAAGGACTTATTGTAGGTGACTAAGTGGGAAAGGTTAATATTGAATAGGAAAGGCATATGTTTCGGTTTTGTTTTCATCTGAAAAAAATAAATACGCTTAACAGCATTAGTATACTTATTGACATTAAGTTAAATATAAAGGAAAAGTTTTAAGGAGGTTGCATCATGTAGATAGTGTTATGGTGTAAATGAAAATTGCTGTGAAATTGGGATAATTATTTACACTAATAATCAAGGCTTAAATGGACAGAGAAACCAAACTGTCCGTTCTTCTTTGGTCATAAGTATCTCATTTATCTATTAAATTGAAAGACAGGCTTTTAATTGGTTTGAATTTGATTTGGAAAGGTTTGTTTGTTTTGTAATTCAACGTTTTTAGAGGCCAGTTTTCTGGTATAGGATATAGGCATTGAAGGGAGTACAAATATGCATAACTGCATAAAATCTGTGAAAACTGGGAACAAAAAGAGGTGGAATCAAAAATAAAGACCATGTTACTAATTTTGTAACAAATTCTTATGCATTATGATACTTCATGGATAATATAGCATTATAAAATGGCACAGCTGCAAAAATACATATATTAGGAATTAATTCAGGGGGGAAATTTTAAGAATTTCATGCTTTCTTTTTCCCTTACTTTTTTCAGAATGATTGTTTTACTTCAGAACATATCTTCCTGGTTAAGTCGGAGTGAGCAAAGATAGTAGTCAAACAAAATTGGGAGATGTTAGTAATTATATTAATTTTTTTTTTTTTATTTCTTTGAACCTCAGCATGTGTCCTATAATATTTGAGTATAGATAGGTGTGTACAGGCTAGGATGCTTTGCATGGCTTAGTGAAAGCTTATATTACAATCACTAAGAATCTTTAGGTTATAAATTACTGAAAATGTAAAACGTAGGTGGGGGATTATAGTTCATGCTCAAATTAATACTTATATTAAAATTTTTCACATTTTAGGAACTAGGATGAAACATGAAAGGGGAGGAGGGTGAAGAGTATGGTAAAAACATTCAGAAAATTTCAGTAAATTCTCTTGAATTTTTAGAGACTAGACTTTTGAGCAGTTTTAAAGATTATAAAATTGTTTTTTAAATAAACTAGTTATTTGCACTTTACCTGCTGGCTTTTCCATTTGGTAGATAACATTCTGAACTCCAGCAGAGTTTTATAATCCCCACGTGCTTAAATATACTAAATGTTCTTTTTCCATTAAGGTTAATGTTCGTGAAGAAATTGAAGAGTTTTTTCCAAGAATGTGGAAGATAAATCAAGATAAAAGAAGGCTAATGAAAAGTATTAAAGATCAGAAAATTAAAATTGAATGGGGGAAAAAATTGAACAGAAGATTGGTCAGATAGAAGCACTTGAATATTTTTTAAGGCTATTTTGAATTGTTTGAATTGGGGAAGAATACACGAAGTATGAAAAATGAAAAACTCAATGAAGAATGAAGAGAAGTAGAAAGCAAGAGTGAAGTAGAATTAAAAGAATCTGGAAGAATGAATGGGTCCTAGGTTAAGTAAATGTATGGTTTATGTTCCAGTGTCTGTATGATCAAGTTGTAGATGAATTTGCATGATTACTTAGTTAATAGAGAATTGGTGATCTGGTTCAAGTAGGGAATTATTGAGGACAGTTAGCAGTATTAACAGTGGGTTATTAATGAGCTGAAATTTTTTCTGGAGGGTGTTGCCTAACCATTTGTTTTTCAGGAGCAATCAATATAAATAATTACGGTACTTTAAATGTTAGGTGTTAGGCATCTACGTGACCAGTGCCATTTGTAATACTGTCTTCTTTGTTAGGAGTCTCGCTCTCAGTCAAAATCTCCAACGGGAACTCCTGCTCGTGTAAAATCGGAGAGCAGGTCAGGATCTCGTAGTCCATCAAGGGTTTCCAAACATTCTGAATCCCAATCTCGATCAAGATCAAAATCCAGGTATGTGTGTATAAAATAATACTTAAAATACTTTCTTTGGATTTTTCAGAGCAAAGTAGTTTTTGCCAAAATCCCTCATTTTTGCTGCATTTTGTATAGAAATTTTCCCAAAGATTCAAAATCATGAAGTAGTTTTTGCAAACTTTAGAAATGGAGTTTAATAATGAATAATACATTCTAGATAAAGACTTAAATAAATTATCTCTAAACTCAATCTATCAGATACTAGCTAGCTATTAAAGCAAATTAAATATGTTAATTGATTTAAATGTACTTGACATTTAGGATTAGTGTTTAATTTTATTTTAATAATAGTTCCACAACAAAGAAGGTAATTTTCTCCATTGGAGACTTGGCGTGTAATTTAGTACAGAGAAAGTTGATGTATGTATGTTGTACTGGTTATCAAAATGATTTGAAAAGTCTTTTCAAGATTCACATTCCATTTACATTCTTTACCTGAAGATTCTGACTTAGGTCCAGGGTGGAATTCTGGTCAGATGTAATTAGTGGGGGGGTCCCTGGATGATAGAGACCCTTCCACTACCACCTCAACAAAACTCTCTAGTAACCACTGCAAGGTTCACTGTATCAGATATCCCAGGTGTGCTGGGGTGAGGAAAACATCCTGGGCAATTAGTTTGACAAATCATTGTAATTTCTTTCTTTTTTTTTTTTATCCTCACCCGAGGACATTTTTCCATTTTTCGTTCAGATAGAGTGGGAGGAAGGGAGAGAGAGGGAAACATCGATGTTAAAGGGACACATCAAGTGGCTGCCATCTGCACGACCCAACGAGGGCCAGGGACAAACTGCCAGCTGAGGTACGCGCCCTTAGTGGGAACCGAACCCGGGTCTCCCTGGACCGCAGGCCGACACTCTAACCACTGAGCCAAACCGGCCAGGGCTCGTTGTAATTTCTTGATTAGAGACAATTTATGTTTTTGAATAGAGTGCTTGCAAGGGGCATGAGAGAGAAGAATCATTTAAAAGACTACTTCCATTGAGGTCCACTGCCATGTCTTTTTCTATATTGTATCCAGCCCAATGCTTGGTTTACTAACTAATCTAATTAAATCCACACGTGCAGAATAGCACTGGATAGAATTTGGGTATAGAAACAGAAATGAGCATATTTTTATTTAAGGACCTTTGCATTTGCTGGCCTCAGCTAGAATTCTCTCAGATATTCTTTTTTACCATTTGATTCACTTCTCCGCTTGTGTGTCACCTGAAAACAATAAATAATATGGAACCTTTTTTTAAATGTTTTTATTGATTTTTTTGTTTGTTTGTTTAGAGAGGAAAGGAGAGGGAGAGAGAGACAGAAACATAGATGAGAGGAAACCATCAATTGGCTGCCTCCTGCACATCCCCCGCCAGGGATCCAGCCTGAAACCCAGGCATGTGCCCTCACTGGGAATCTGACCAGGAATCTAACTGCTGACCTCTTGGTCCATTTAGTGACGCTCAGCCAACTGAGCCACACTGGCTGGGCAACATGGAAACTTTTTTTTTTTTTTATTGATTTTAAAGAGAGAGGAAGGAAGAGGGAGCCAGAGATAGAATATCTATGAGAGAGAACATGGATTGGCCACCTCCTGCATGCCCCCCACAAAGGATTTGGCTCACAATCTGGGCATGTGCCCTGACTGGGAATTGAACCAGTGACCTCTTGGTGCATGGGTCAGCACTCAGCCACTGAGCCACAGCAGCCGGGCCAACATGGAAACTTTTTATTCCCTTGTTCTTAATTTTCTTCATACTTGTCACTATCTGATTGGTGGGGGGAGCACTCCTGAAGGGTTTTTAATTACTGTCACTTTTCATTACTATTTAAAAGTAACAATTGATATTTTAAGTGACAGGTTTTCTTATTAATGTTTTTAATTTATTTTTTAAGTTGAGGCTGTAAATTAGCGCTAAGGAAAATGGGAAATATCCTGTTTGATATTCTTACACAACACAGGTTTTTTTTCAAACATACCCTATCCTACCTCCCCACCCCCAAATTATTAATTTCTTTTAGATAGTAGGCTGCTCATTTTATTGTTTATGTTCCCACTCAGACGCCTTTGTTTGCCCCCTTTCAATAAATCTATACTCTTCAGCTTGATAGTTAAGCTTTTTACACAATGTTGTATCAGTCCTTTACTAATCTTCACTCTCATCATTTCCTTTGTAAGTATCCTAATTCCTTGCTAATTATACTGTTTTTTATTTTTTGGTCATGTCTGCATGTCTTCTAGTCAAGGAACCTTTGCTGCTCTTGCTACTCCTAGGACACTTTCACCCTTCTACCTAGTAAAGTCTGTTAAGTGTCCTAGCTTTATTGTTAGCCTTCTTTGTTTTGAACAATCTTCCTTCTTTAGTTTTATTCCAACTACACACCACATTTTCTCTTTTTAAACTTTCCAGCCCTTAGCATTTATAACATTTATTGAATGCCTTATAGAAGTTATTTTGTATGACTGTCATCACTACTGGTCTGGGTGTTTAGTTAAGGATGGGTCATATATATTGTAAACAAGAAATTGTTGCATTAATAGGTAAAGAAAGAAGACTGAGAGCTACTGGAAATAGAAGTAGGACATGAACTAGGGAATTGGCAGTAGAGATATGGGTGAGATGCTCTAGAAAGCTCGAAGAAATGAAGACTATTAGATTAGAAGGGCCCCGGCCGGTTTTGCTCAGCGGTTAGAGCATCGGCCTGAGGTCCGGAGAGACCCGGGTTCGGTTTCCGCCAAGAGCACGTACCTCGGTTGCAGTTTGTTCCTGGCCCTGATTGGGTCGTGCGGGTGGCAACCACTTGATGTGTCCCTTTCATGTCTATGTTTCTCTCTCTCTCTCTCTCTCTCTCCCTCCCACTCTATCTGAACAAAAAATGGAAAAAAATGTCCTCGGGTGAGGTAAAAAAATAAAAATAAAAATAGATTAGAAGGGCATTTAGGTTAATTAGTAGATGCTAGATTGCAGCAGGCTAAAGGAAGATTGGAAAGGAAATGATACTTAACAGTGAAGGGGATATAGCACTATATTGAGGTGATAAGTGATTCAACGAAAGGATTTTATTGCACTCGTGGTTTGTTTTGTCTTTTTGTAGTAAAATACACATAATAATCTTAACCATTTTAAAACATACAGCTAAATGGTGTTACATTGTTGTGCAGCTGTCACCACCATCCATCCCTGTAACTCTCATCTCTTGTAAAACTGAAACTAGACCTGTTAAACAGTGACTCCTCATTCTCCCCTTCTCCCATCTCCTGGCAATTACCATTTTACTTTCTTTCTTCATGATTTTGACTACCAAGTACCTCGTATAAGTGGAGTCATGTAGTATTTGTTTTCTTGTGACTGACTTTCACTTAGCATAATGCCCTCAAATTTCATCTGTGTTGAATATTGAATTTCTTTCCCAGTGGTAGTTGGGTTTGTTTTTGTTTTTATTTTCCCCCTTTTAAAGAAATTAGACCCTTGCCCTGGCCGGTTTGGCTCAGCGGTAGAACGTCGGCCTGCGGTCCAGAGAGACCTGGGTTCGGTTTCCGCTAAGGGCACGTACCTCGGTTACAGTTTGTCCCCGGCCCTGGTTGGGTCATGTGGGTGGCAACCACTCGATGTGTCCCTTTCATGTCGATGTTTCTCTCTCCCTCCTCACTCTATCTGAACAAAAAATGGAAAAAAAAATGTCCTCAGGTGAGGATAAAAAAATAAAGAAAGGAAGAAATTTAAAAGGAAAGAAAGTAGAGCCTTAACATGCTGGTAAGGTAAGGTGGAAAAGGTGAATGGAGAAGGGATAGACTGAGGACAAGGAGGAAATTGTAGTGATTAAGAGAACAGGAGGAAGACGACTACCCTTTCTCAGAAAGGAGCTGAGAATAAGCAGGGATATGTGTCTATAGGTACTTGGCATTAGCTATTTGTTTCAGTATGACCTAAATTCATTTCTCTTTAAGGTCGAGGTCAAGGAGGCATTCTCATAGACGGTACACTCGATCCAGATCCCATTCTCACTCTCATAGGAGACGATCTCGAAGTAGGTCATATACACCAGAATACCGGCGTCGAAGGAGCCGAAGTCATTCTCCAATGTCTAACCGGAGAAGACATACAGGCAGCAGGGTATGTGGTTTTTTATTTATTTATTTACTTATTTATTTTATTTTTTTAATCCTCACCCGAGGATATTTTTCTGTTTATCTTCAGATAGAGTGGGAGAGAGGGAGAAACATCAACGTGAGAGGGACACATCAACTGGTTGCCTCCCGCGTGACCCCGGCCAGGGCGAGTTATGGTTTTTAAAAGTAAATAAAAAGTTATTTTGTCTTTAATATGTGTTTAGTCATAGCATCATACTTGCTTTATGAAATCGAGGCCATTGTTTAAAAAGTGGTACTCAAGAAACATCTTTGAGGATGTGGATATTTAATATACATTTAAGAATATTTTCTGTTCTTGCCTTTTAAATAGTTAAAAGATGAATTTGGGGAGAAATGATATGTTCCATAAATTAAAGTGAAAAGCATAAACTTAGTTGAGAATATTGAAATAAAAAGTTTTACAGCAATTGAGGGGAGGTGGTAGACTGCAAGTAAATACCGAAAACTGTAGAAATAGCTGGTGCTCCTAATGTGAGCACTGTGCAAAGTTCTTTAATACATTCAATACTCTTAACATCTGTGAGGCAAGTTACCATGTTACATATAAGGAAATTGAGTCTTGATTATGTGACATTGAGGTTTGTCTTTTGGCAGAGCCCAGGTTTCAACCAGACTCATGACTCTAATGTTCCTGTGCTTAACTACTATGCTATGCTTCTCCCATGTGATGCTGCATACTCCCATGTGAATCAGCTAAGGAATGAAAATGGGGGGGTTGTCTAATTGGCAATTGCAATGAAATCAGATTGAATATACATCTATAAGAAATGTAAAACATTTGAATAAACTAGAAATATGGTATTAAACTAAGGATGAATTCTTAGTATGCATGCTGAAAATTGCTGGGCTAAAGAATAGGGTTGTTTTTATTCAGACTACATACAACCTGAAGCATATTGCAGAGAAGGCCTGAGTGTATTGTGAACTGTAAGACATAACTAACTGGTTTTTTGTGTTTTTTTCTCTTAAATTATTTCCAAGTCACTTGAAACAATATAGTCTTTGTGTATTGGTTGAGGTGTTCTAAGCATAGTATTTCTGTGTGTTTTAATATTTATTTTAATTTGGAGCTTAAAATTAAATGACATCTTTATTCAACAGGCAAATCCAGATCCCAACACTTGCCTTGGAGTGTTTGGCCTCAGTTTGTACACAACAGAGAGAGATCTTCGTGAAGTATTTTCTCGATATGGACCATTGAGTGGTGTCAATGTGGTTTATGATCAGCGAACTGGACGATCACGAGGATTTGCTTTTGTCTACTTTGAGAGGATAGATGACTCAAAGGAGGTAATTTTGTTTTTATAATTGTCACCTTAAACATTTTCTGATGTTCATGATTATAGTATATTGAGTTACTACTAAAAGCTGATTAATAGTCTGGCCGGTGTGGCTCACTGGTTGAGATTGATCCATTCGCCAAGAGGTTGCCAGTTCGATTCCTGGTCAGGGTACATGCCCAGATCGTGGGCCCAATCCCCAGTGAGGAGCAGGCAGGAGGTGGCCATTTGATGTTCTCGCTCATCAATATTTCCATCTCTCTCCTCCTCTCTCTTCCTCTTTCTCTAAAATCAATGAAGAAAAAAAAAAAATTTTTTTTTTTTTTTTTAAAAGCTGATTAATAGACTCCGTTTCATAAACATGTCCTCTTACATTCTTGATCTGATTCAAACTCTGCGTCTTAGTGTTACAATTAGAATGGCCAGTTTCACTTTCTGGTATAGGCATATCCTTACTGAAATCTGGCTTTGTACAGGGATATGTATATGTTTGAGTTAATGGAAAAAGTGAAGTGTGTGTTTCTTTTGAATAAACCTTATTCTTGCTCTAACCAGGTGATTCAGTTGACTTTTTAGAATCATGGTGTTTAGGTATTAGATTGTAAAGGAAACAGTGGGCTTGCTTTCTCTATATTAAAAGTTTATAGTGATTGAGTTAGAAAATTCCATTTTAAGGAATTAGAAGCTCCATTGTTAAGATTTTATCAAACCTTAATAAATGACGTGTTAGAATTTCTCTTTTGTACTATTTTACATATGACAGTAATTGGATATAGGTCATTATTGCCCCATGCATCAACAGTGCTTGATTGCAACGTAAGCAATCATAATAAATGTTAGCATATCTTTTAAAAATAATGGAGACGAGGGATGATATTAAACATCCTACAGTGCACAGGATAGCCACCCACAGCATAGAACTAGCAGTCCCAAAATGTCAATAGTGCTGTGATTGTAAAACCCTGGCAAAGTCTAACAAAATAATGCTTCCGCTTGTAAGTCTTTCATATAATAGGCATTCTAATTTTGTCAATATAGGTTTTTACTGTTACATAAAGTAGTCCCCACTTACCCGCAAGGGATATGTTCAAGGACCCCCAGTGGATGCCTGAAACTGGGATAGTACCAAACTTTTTACTTAAAGGAAGCACTTTTTTATAGCTTCTCAGGCATATTCAGATTGCCAACATCACTATTCTTGTGCTTTGGGATCATTAGTTCAGTAAAATAAGGTTTACTTGAACACAAGCACTGAGATACTGTGACGGCTAATCTGATAACGGGTATGGCTATTAAGTGGCTGATGGGGGGTGGAGTAGTTTATCCAGTGTGGATATGCTGGACAGGGATGATTCACATCCCAGGAGAGACAGCACACAATTTAAAATTTACAAATTGATTATTTCTGCCATTTTCCATTTTGTTCTTTTCATCCCTCGATTGACTGTGGATAACTGAAACGGCAGATAAGGTTGGTGGAGGGAGGGGGTTACTAGAGATTTGCTTATTCCTTTTCTCAAGGGATAAAGGTTTAAATTTAGAAATACCAAGATATCTGACCTGGATTAAATATTGAGAAGTGTGAAAGTATCACAATTAAAAATTCTTTGAATTTGAAACTTGTATTGTCCTATCTCTTGATTATTCTTCCTCCAGGTTTATTCCTGGGTAAAATAAAATGAAAATGGCACCTTTACTTAGTTCCAAAGAACTTCATGGAAATTTGTTAAAGTGGTTGAACTATTACTGCATTTATTGGTGTTAGTGTCAAGGGTCAAAGTGATAGGGAATGTAAATGCAGGTATGAAGACAGGAGCACTTATAGACAGGTTTAGAGGTTCCTTTCTATTTGCAGTTCACTAGGTGGCGATGTGTTCTTCAAGAATGGCTTGACTAAGTTAAACTTGTCGATTGAATTGCAGTTTCTGCTTTGAGTTACCCAGACTGAAATTAGTCACTACAGCCTCGGAGTTATGCACTTTCCTAGGTTGTATAGTTCTTTCTCTGTGGCTGAAGGTAGCTGCCCCCAGTATTTCAGCACAGGCCTGCTTAACCGTCTGTGTGTACACTAAAAAAAACTCAATACTATTGACATGCATATAGCAGGGATTAATATGTACAATCATACCCCCAAAGTTTGAAAAATAAGTGTTTAGAGAATTTTAATTTTTGACATTTCAAATGGAAATGTTAAATTTATTACAGTTTTGATGGTTTTTCCTTGGTGAATTATGCGTGACTTTCTATGTCTTCTCCTTTAAAGGCTATGGAACGGGCAAATGGAATGGAGCTGGACGGTAGAAGAATTCGTGTGGATTATTCTATCACCAAGAGAGCACACACACCTACACCAGGCATCTACATGGGCAGACCAACTCAGTAAGATTTCAAGTTTCCTAAGTTAAGCTGTTTTAGCCAGAAGTCCACCAGAAATGTCCACAAAATTTTGATTAGTCAAAAGATAAAATTTTTTTCTATAATTAAAATGGAAATAGATTTAATTTGTGTATGTTCTTTGAATCGTTCTATTTTGTATATATACAGTTGACCCTTGAACAGTGCAGGGGTTAGGAGCACCAACTGTCTTGTTGTTCGAGGGTCAGCTGTGTATATAAAAAAAATCCACATACAGCCCTGGCTGGTTTGGCTCAGTGGTTAGAGCATCGGCCTGTGGTCCAGAGAGACCTGGGTTCGGTTCCCGCTAAGGGCATGTATCTCAGTTGCAGTTTGTCCCCGGCCCTGGTTAGGTTGTGCGGGTGGCAACCACTCAATGTGTCCCTTTCACGTCGATGTTTCTCTCTCTCCCTCCCTCCTTCCCTCCCTCCCACTCATTCTGAATAAAATATCGAAAAATGTCCTCGGGTAAGGATAAAAAAAAAAAAAAAAAACACATATATCCTGCCAGTGTGGGTCAGTGGTTGAGCATCAACCCATGTACCCAGAGGTTGCCATTCAATTCCCCGTCAAGGTACATGCCCAGGTTGTGAGCCCAATCCCCAGTGGGGGACATGCAGGAGGCGGTCAGTCGATGTTCTCTCTCATTGATGTTTCTATCTCCTCTTCCTCTCCCTTCCTCTCTAAAAATCAATAAAGAAAAAAAACTTTTTTTTTTTTTTTTTTTATCCTCACCCGAGGACATTTTTCCATTTTTTGTACAGATAGAGTGGGAGGGAGAGAGAGGAAGAGAGAGAGAGGGAAACATCGACGTGAAAGGGACACATCGAGTGGCCGCCACCCGCACGACCAACCAGAGCCGGGGACAAACCGCAACCGAGGTACATGCCCTTAGCGGGAACCGAACCTGGGTCTCTCCAGGCGCACCAACCGCTGAGCCAAACCGGCCAGGGCAAAAAAAAATTTTTTAATCCACATGTAACTTTTGACTCTCCAAAAACTTAGTTTTCCTTTAGTATCCATCAGGGATTGGTTCTGGGACCCCTGTGGATACCCTGTGTGATGCTCAAGTGTCCAGTATAAAATGGTGTAGATCAATGCATGTGGCTGGTCCTCTGCATCCACAGACTCCCAACCGTTGATTGAAAACAGAACAGGTATTTATTGGGGAAATTTATGTGTAAATATGCCCATGTAGTTCAAAGGTCAACTGTGTGTGTGTGTATATATATGGATAAATTAAAACTGTTGGAGTACATTTCTGGCCCTTGGTACTATACAAATAAGAAAGTTATTAGATACTAGAAAAATATATACTTTTAAGAAAGTACTCCCTTTCTATTTTCTTTTTTTTTTAGAGAGAGAAGAAAGGGGGGGGGGCATCAATCTGTTGCCTCCCCAATTGAGTATTGAACCCACAGCCTGGGTGTGTGCCCTGATTGGGAATCAAACCCACCACCTTGTGTTTAGTGTATAGGAGGACACTCCAACCAACTGAGCTACACTACCAGGGCTTCTGTTTCTATTCTTACTTATTTTTCTTTATTGATATTAGAGAGAGATAGGAACATCAATGAGAGAGAACATTGATTGGTCTCCTTCTGTATGCCCCCCACTGGGGATCAGGCCTGCAACCTGGGCATGTGCCTTGACCGGGAATCAAACCACTGACCTCTCAGTGCATGGGTCGATGCTCAACCACTGAGCCACACTGGCCAGGTTCCCTTTCTATTCTTTTTTTTTTAATCCTCACTCAAGGACACTTTTTGATATTTTGTTCAGATAGAGTGGGAGGAAGAGAGAGAGATACATCAACGTGAAAGGGACACATCGAGTAGCTGCCACCCGCACAACCCAACCAGGGCCGGGGACACACTGCAACCGAGGTACGTGCCCTTAGCAGGAACCGAACCCAGGTCTCTAGGGACCACAGGCTGACGCTCTAACCGCTGAGCCAAACCTGCCAGGGCTCCCTTTCTATTCTTATGTTACCTGGGAAGCCTCTGTGTATAGGGAAAGACTTTACTTTTACTGATACTAGCATTTGTTTAAAAACAAACAAACATCCAGTCAGTGTGGTTCAGTGGATTAAGCCTATGGACTGAGACTTCCTGGTTGAATTCCCCATCAGAGCACATTCCCACAACTCGGGCTCTATGTGTGTCTCTTACATTGTTTTTTTTTTTTTCTTCTTCTTTATATTTAGAGAGGGAGAAGGAGAAGGAGAGAGAGATAGAAACATCAATGAGAGAGAACATCTTTGTGCATGGGTTGATGCTCAATCATTGTTCCACACTGGCTGGGCTCTCACATCAATGTTTCTTTTTCTCTCCCTTCCTCTCTCTCTAAAAAAATTAATAAAATTGAGAGAGAAGGGAAAAGAGGGTGGTGAAGGAAAAGGGGTGGGGGTGGGGGCAAATAAAAAGAAAAAATTTAATAAAATTATTTAAAAAATAAAAACAAAAACAGCTTTCACATTATGTAGAATATAAATGGGGATTTTTTTAAATTCTTGATTTTTTAAAAATTGCTTTGAATTAGTTGTAAGGACACATATCTTAGTGTTTTGGTATTGTTTCCAGCACAGTTCATTTCACTTTGTTGAAAAGGTCCTGGTGATTTAGGTAGTGCATTGATAAAAGAGCATTTTATAGTTTGGAGAGGTGTGTGAAATCGTTCTTGATTATTTATGTAATGAATAGGAAGCCAATGCAGAATACCATGGGCAGCAACAAACTAAGACATGGTTGGTGTAAATAGCATGAAAGGATTACTTTCCCTTATCTTGCCTCCTTCCTTCATTTGATATTAAGTAAGTGATACTGCCCTGGTTGGTTTGGCTCAGCGATTAGAGCATAGGCCCACGGACCAGAGTTCTGGGTTCCATTCTCGCTAAGGACACGTATCTCGGTTGCAGTTTGTCCCCAGCCCCATGGGGTTGTGTGGGTGGTAGCCAGTTGATGTGTGTCTCTCACATTGATGTTTCTCTATCTCTTCCTCTCTCCTTCCCGCTCTATCTGAAGATAAATGCAAAAATGTCCTCGGGTGAGGATAAAAATAAAAATTAAGTGATACTGGAAAATAATCATTCATATTGTTATAAAATGTTTACATTTTTTCTGTAGTAGTGGCGGTGGTGGAGGTGGAGGCGGTGGTGGAGGCGGAGGAGGAGGCAGACGTCGAGATTCTTACTATGATAGAGGATATGAGCGTGGTTATGACAGATACGAAGACTATGATTACCGGTACAGGTAATACTTAACTGTGGTTTCCGTTCTACATTACATGATAGTGGTATTACTGGGCACTTTTGGTTTATGTTTGATATGTTTTAATAAAAATATTTAAAAGATTTTATCTGATGCTTTCTTGAGAAAGTAGGAAAAAATTATTTTCTCAAGCCCTAGTACAGAATTTAAATTACCTGTATTTGCCAGCATTTTGTTGTGTCATATATTTACTGTTTTAATATCATTGGCACACAGAGAACTTAATAGTTATCATGTTGGGTCCATTATTATTTTGAATGATGGGGGATTTTTAGTTTCATCTGCCTTAGTGGATTATATGTATACTAAGTAATCTTTTGTTTCCTACAGAAGAAGATCACCTTCTCCTTACTATAGTCGATACAGATCACGATCAAGATCTCGTTCCTACAGCCCAAGTATGTCCTCTGTGCTTTTGCATTAATTAATGGTTGATTTTAGAAAATGAGGGTATATGGTGACTGTTAATAGTTGGGAAAATAATAGGCAGGTCAAACTATAATTGTCATTTTGACTTTTTTTTTCTCTCTTTCAGGGCGCTATTGATGAAGAGAACGATTGCAGTTGAGGATCTCTTTTTCTCTCTTTGTCTTTTGTTTAATTCTGGATTTCCCTGAGCTTCTAATCCTTCCTACTTCTTAAAAAGAATCCATAAAAATATCTTTGGTTTATTTAGCATCTACACTTTGTCGATTGTATTGCTGTTTTTCACTCCTTTTATTATACTCTTATGGATGTAATTGTTGTCATTTTGAGTAGTTAACATCTCGAGTAAAAAAGGAACCCCCAGTGTTATACTTTGTAAATTTTTTCCCCCGCTTTTACAGAAAATTTAACTCCTGGCTAATCAAAAGAGGAAAGAAATGGTCTTTTTAAAGCTTCTTTTGTGTTAGATACTGTATTAGAAATCTACATTTCTGACAAACTCCTTTTTTAACTTTCTTTTGAAGAAGATAGTAACGCATAAAGTAGTTCAGTCATGTCAGGTTTGTCTGGGGTGGCATGGAGCAAATAGTAGAATGTAGAATGTTTTAAGCTACAAAAGAAAACACTTGGTCATTTCTTTTGGGAAAAAGGAAATTTTGAACCTTAAAAATGACGTCATTGTTTTTTAGAGATGGAAAGCTGGTGGACTCCTATAAAACATGTTATATTTAAACTACATCTGTTAAAACTTACAAACTTAAAGTGTGATTTTTCTGTGTGTTGAATTTATTGAAGTTTAAGTATTCTCAATCAGTGAAGGACAACCCTTATTATTTATTACTTAGGGCAATTGTATACTTTGCTGTTAGAAATTTTGGTATGGGACAGTGGTTAAACAGGCTATTGTATAGTATAGAGTCCTTAGAGGATATGTGTGGGGAAAAGTAGTTTCCTTTCAAATAAAAGTTAATTTCTTTGAAAATGGGACTGTCTTTTTATTATGTTACAATGGGAAAATATAACTGGATTGATTTGGGAACCAGTCCTTCCTTTTTCCGAACATTTTTGCTTACATCCAAATATAATCCTTATCTCTTACTCAGTCTTTAAAAACCTCTGTTTTATTCTCCCATTTTTGTTGACCACATTGTAAATATTGAGATTATTCAGTATCAAGCACCTTGCTGAAAGAAAGATAGTATGGTTCATGTCTTCAAAAATTCCACATTCTAGGGAAGGGAGCCTTGTAGATATCTGGAAGAAGAGTATGTTAGGTGTAGGAAACAGCAAATGTAATAGCCTTATAAGGCAGAACAATACCTGGAATGCTGGACAAGAGAAGACAAAGTTGATAACCTTAAGGGCTAGGCCCTGCTGGGGAGTGTTTGGGAAGTGATTTCAACAATCAGGCACAATTTTTATAGAAAGGGGAACTGTCAGAAGTGGGTACCTGGTTGTAATGTTACATGTGGATATATATTATATATTAGACTTAAAGACTAGATGTGTTACATTGCATGGACGTGCAACACAAAAATAATTGGGTATTTCTGGGCCTCTTCTGTTACCTATTTATTGAATTGAAAAAAATTTCAGCTGATTAAAGGTAAGAAAAACTTGTTTTCTAATTCCTTGCAACACTGTTTCCTACTCTTTGGGGGGAGTCACGGAGCCTTTAAAAATTGGAAAAGAAGTTCAGTCTTCCTAGAAAAAGTGCACATATAAAACAATTTGTGTATACAAATACGTGGTTTTTAAATTATTTTGTGCATAGAATAATATCTATAAGAAGATGCACCAGTTTTCTAATAATGGTTAGTTATCCCGTGAAGTAGTCTATAGAGAGAAACTTGCAGAAAAACAATAGAACACTTTTACATACAAATTCAGGGACATAATTCATATCTGGATAAAAGTCCCTGTCATAGACATTGTCCTTGGATTCAAGAAGAATCTTTCCTGGCTGTTTTATTTATATATGTATGTATGTGTGTTACTCACCTGAGGATATTTTTCCATTGATTATAGAGTGGAATGGAGAAAGGCAGAGAAAGAAACATCGGTGAGAGAGACACACATTGATTGGTTGCCTCCCGCATGACCCAGACCAGGGCAGGGATGGAACCTCAACCCAGGTACAGGCCCTTGACGGGGAATTGAACCCATGACCCTTCTGTACTTGGGCTGAAGCTCTTAACTGCTGAGCCAAATTCAGCCAGGGCTGGCTGCTTGTTTTTTAGGATGTGGCTTTAGAACATTTGAATTTCCTAGCACCTTGAGAATTATGAAGCACAAATATGTATCACTTTATTATGGCAATTAAAAGTCTTATTTGTGCCCTGGCTGGTGTTGCCCAGTGGTTAGAGCATCAGCCTGTGCACCAGAGGGCCATGGGATCAATTCCCAGTGGGTCGCAGGTTCAATCCTCAGTGTAGGTGCATATGGGAGGCAACCAATCCAAGTGTCTCTCACATCCATGTTCTCTCTCCCCTCCCTTCCACACTCTAAAAATCAATGGAGAAGATATCTTTGGGTGAGAATTAACAACAAAAAGTCTTGTTTGTAATGTAAAATAAGGTTTGAGCCTTGCCAGTCCCGTGGACTGAGAGGTCCAGGTTTGATTCCAGGTCAGGAAACCTGTCTGGTTTCAGGCTCAATCCCCAGTAGGGGGCATGTAGGAGGCAGCCAATTAATGTTTTAATCTTTTCCTTCCTCTCTAAATACCAATAAAAATATATTTTAAAAATAAAGGTATGTTCGCTCTGGCCGGTTTGGCTCAACGGTTAGAACGTCAGCCTGCCGTCCAGAGAGACCTGGGTTCGGTTCCCGCTAAGGGCACATGCCTAGGTTGCAGTTTGTCCCCAGCCCTGGTTGGGTAGTGCGGATGGCAGCCACTTGATGTGTCTCTCACGTCGATGTTTCTCTCTCTTCCTCTCTCTCCGTCCCACTCTATCTGAACAAAAAATGGAAAAGTCCTCCGGTAGGATAAATAAATAAATAAATGTATGTATGTATGTATGTATGTTCAAAATATGTCCACCCCTGACATCAAACTTACTGCTTTAGGCATATGAATTTCCTTTTTCCCACCTGACTAACCCCAAATTAAGTGTATTGAATGGTCAAAATCCGTGCATTTTTATATTATATAAAATAGACATTAAAAGGTAAGGTGAGCCCTGGCCAGTGGTTAGAGCATCCGCCTGCGGTCCGGAGAGACCCGGGTTCGGTTCCCGCTAAGGGCATGTACCTCGGTTGCAGTTTGTCCCCGGCCCTGGTTGGTCGTGTGGGTGGCAGCCACTCATTGTGTCCCTTTCACATCGATGTTTCCCTCTCTCTCTCTCCCTCTCCCTCCCTCCCTCCCTCTCTCTCCCTCCCACTCTATCTGTGCAAAAAATGGAAAAATGTCCTCAGGTGAGGATTAAAAAAAAAAAAAAGGTAAGGTGAGGCCCTAGCTGGTTTGGCTCAGCCTGAGGACCAGAGAGTCCTGGGTTCAGTTCCCGCTAGGGGCACGTACCAAAAAAAAAAAAGTGAGCCCAGGCTGGTTTGACTCCGCAGTTAGAGTGTCGGCCTGCCAACTGAAGGGTCTTGGGTTCAATTCCTGGTCAAAGGCATGTACCTGGCTTACAAGTTCAATCCCTGGCCCCAGTTGGGGTTGTGTGGGGGGCAACCAATTTGTGTGTCTCTCACATCTATGTTTCCCTCCCTCCCTCCCAAACTGTCTAAAAATCAATGGAAAAAATATCCTCAGGTGAGGATTAATCCTAAAAGTGGGTTGGGGGGTAAGATGAGAGAGGTACCATTGATGGGGAGTAATGAATATAGAAAACAAAGGCTTAAGTAACTTCCAAGGAAGCAAATATACATACAAATGAAATACCAGGTTTTGTCAATTTTAGCTCTCACCAAAAATATATGAAAGGGAGGTGGTTTTTAAATATATATATATTTATTGATTTTTAGAGAGAGAAACATCACTGTGACATTGAAACATTAATTGGCTGCCTCCACGCCCCCTACTGGGGATTGAACCTGCAACCCTGGCATGTGCCCTTACCAGGAATCAAACCGGCAACCTTTCAGTGTACAAGATGATGCCCAACCAACTGAGCCACACTGGCCAGGGTAGAGAAGTCTTGAAGCAAAAGGTGTTCAGATTTTACTAAAGGAAAATAAGCTATAATCTGAATTATGTACGCCACAAAATTATTTCAAAGTGAAATTGAGGTAACAGTTTTCAAAAACTATGGTGAGATAAAAACCTAATGGAACTGAGGGGAAAAAAGACTACACGGCGTTAGTACAAAAAATGCATGCATGCTGCGGTATCCTATTTGACTAATTTTGCCCTACACTTAACGTAATTGACCCCAAAAAGGCTATCCATTCGGGAGATCCTGTGTGATGATCATAGGTGAAGAAAGCAGTTGCGGCCTGGCCGGTTTGGCTCAGCAGTTAAGAGTGTCGGCCCGCAGACCAGAGAGACCCGGGTTCAGTTCCCGCTAAGGGCACGTACCTCGGTTGCAGTTTGTCCCCCGCCCTGGTTGGGGTTGTGTGGGTGGCAGCCACTCAATGTGTGTCTCACGTTGATGTTTCTCTCTCTCTTCCCTCTCTCCTCCCACTCTATCTGAAGATAAATGCAGCCTGCCAGTGTGGCTCAGTGGTTGAGCATCGACCGACCCATGCACCAAGAGGTCGCCAGTTCGATTCTCGCTCATCCATGTTTCTCTCCCTCTCCCTCTCTCTAAAATTAATAAAGGAAGAAAAAAATAAGTAAATAAATGCACAAATGTCCTTGGGTGAGGATTTTTTTAAAAAGAGAAAGCAGTTGCGGGGGCAGGGGGATGGATGAGATGAACCAAAGAACTTACATGCATGTATGCATAACGAGTGGACATGGACAACAATGCTGGGGGGAGAGAAACATTTGTAACAAAATAAAAATAAAATTGGAGAAAAAAAAGCTAATCATGCATCCTATAGTCAGCTGAAATAATTAACTATCTTAAAAGTTAATGAGACATGATGCCCTGGCCGGCTTGGCTCAGCAGTTAGAGCATTGGCCTGCGTCCCAGAGAGATCTGGGTTTGGTTCCCCCTAAGGGTGCGTACCTCGGTTGCAGTTTGGTCGTGTGGGTGGCAGCCACTCGATGTGTCCCTTTCACGTCGATGTTTCTCTCCCTCTCACTGTTATCTGAACAAAAAATGGAAAAATGTCCTTGGGTGAGGATAAAAAAAAAAAAGTTAATGAGACATGTTGTTAGATTAAGGAATGCTGAAAACAAAACAGAAGAAAGCAGTTGCTTAACGCAAACTAGTCATGAGTCCTCACCAGGTTGCTGTGATGTGAATCTAGGTATGTTTCTCTCTGATGGTAATTTAATCCAGGAAGAGATTTTCATGGCATTATTTTTCAGATTTCTACAAATACTGCATTTTTTTGTTTGTAAATTTGAAAGGATACTCCCTGCAGGAAATGTAACAATTGGAGCCTGGCCAGTGTAGCTCAATGGTTGAACGTTGACCCATGCAGATGTTGCCAGTTGGATTCCCAGTCAGGGCACATGCCCAGGTTAGGGCCTGATCCCCAGTTGGTGGGCATGTGGGAGGTGGCCAATGTTCTCTCTCATCAATGTTTCTCTCT